AAAGAAAGAAAGAAAGAAAGAAAGAAAGAAAGAAAGAAAGAAAGAAAGAAATGATGTGCTAACGTGCGTTGAGTGCTTGCTGTGTGCAGACACCATTCTGTACAAAGCCATTCAATCCTCAGAAGTTGAAGCACATGCCATCACGGGCCACAGTGTTACTTGCACAGATAAGAAAACCAAAGGCTACAGGGGTTCAGTGATTTGCTCAAGATTCCCCAGTGTTATTAAACTGAAGAATAAGGAAAATTTTTCTTCTTGGACCCTCAAAAGACTGAGAAGAATGGTTGTCTGCTAGAATCTAATTGGCATTAAAAGTATATCCCAGGGGTGCCTGGGTGGCTCAGTCGGTTGAGTGTCTGCCTTTGGCTCAGGTCATGATCTCACGGCTCGTGGGTTTGAGCCCTGCGTCGGGCTCTGTGCTGACAGCTCGGAGCCTGGAGCCTGCTTCGGATTCTGTGTCTTCCTCTCTCTCTGACCCTCCCCCACTTGTGCTCTGTCTCTCTCTGTCTATCAAAAATAAATTTAAAAAAAGTATATCCCAGCTTGATCAGCTCAGATTGATTTTATAATGACTCACTCTGAAATCCATAGTCTTTGAAAACGGCCTGCAGTGTGAGCCAGTATGTATTACTTTTACACCAGGAGCATCTTCATTTTGCTTCTTCTTCTTTTTTTTTTTTTTTTAAAGTTAGTGATATTTATCTTACTGTTTTTGTAATTTGTCGTCTGAGGCATGTGTGTGTTTTATATAATATGTAACACAAATCAAGGTGGATGAAAATCAACAGGGAGCCCTCCTCCCCAGACCTGTAGGGAAATGGACTTGCTCCCAGGCAGTAAAGAGATCTGGTGGTCTTGATGAAACCCTGTCATCCTTGGGCTATTGAGGAAACCTTTGCCTACAGCTGCCGGGGCTGCTTGTTCTGACAAAGACTTGTGTGCATGTACTGTGGCCTGTCTCCTAGGTAACTTCCACCTGCTTCCTTGAGCAAAACTTCCTGGCCATAGAGATTTCCAAGGTGACTTTCTTCCTGTAACCCTTTAAGCCTCTGCTTTTCTCCCAGTTTGAAAGCTTATTACTGCTAGTTAGCATTATTTTACCGTAAGTAAACCGTAAACCTGACGTTTGAGAAATCTATTTACTCAAGGAAATATTGGATATTATGTACTCATTGCATTAACGATTATAGTGCTTTAGAAATACTTGGTTATGCATGAATTTTGGGGGGAACATATCTACTTTGTACAGTCAGACATTCTCCGGTGGTCTCTAGCCAAGGCAGTAATTTCACATTATGGCTTGCTGATAATCATAGATAGTTCCCTTTTGGATCCTGAAAAGGCCTATGATAGATTCCCAAGACGTATGATAATTCTGTAAAATGCATCTGGGTTGCTAAACCAAGATGAAAACATGTCACTCCTTTTGTGGTTGGCAGACTGGAACACTGCAGAGTGTAAATCTTCACATGATGTGCCAGGCCCACTGACAGGTTGGTCAGAGGATTAAAAAAAAAAAAAAAAAAAAGCAACTTACGAAACATGTCAACCATTTACAAAAGTAGAGTGAATAATATAATGGACCACCCTGCGCACATCACTCAACTTTAGCAGTGCCTTAGCTTGTGGCCAACTTTGCTTC